CAGTTCTTTATATATTCTAGATAGTAGTCCTTTGTCTGAGGTACAGCTGCTAAAATTTTTTTTCCCATATTGTAGGTTGTCTGTTAGCTCTGTTGGTGGTTTCTTTTGCAGTGCAGAAGCTTTTTAACTTTTCTTTTTTTTTTTTAATGGTGGATTGGAAGCCATTGCCCACCAGGCCATTGTGGAGATTACTGAGTCATGACCAGGGAAGTAGTAAGGGTGGAATCTTTTTTTAATGATGTGAGCCTAATTTTTCAAGTTTCCCTTCTAACATATTTTGCCTATATAAATGTCAATATAATATTTTTCCCTATTTAGCTTGGTGCCCTCAGTGACAGCAGCCCAGTTGAGAATCATTGTTATAAAATTGAATTAAAATGGCTCAAGAATACTTGTATCTTCAGTTGTCTGAAATAATCTAACAAATATTCTGAAAAGGATATTATATACCAATTACACTTATAAACACACATAAAAATCTAAAACTATGTATTGGAAATCTAATCCATTAATTTACAAAATTTATAAAAATAATATAGCAAGATGTAGTTTTCCCAAGAATGCAAGACTATTTAAATATTTAAAAATCAATAAAGAAAAAAATATTATTTCAATAAATGCAGCAAAAATATTTGATGAAATTAAACTAACTTCATAATAAAGTCCTAGCAAACTAGTATTAGATGGGAATTTCTAAAAATAGAACATAAGCCAACACAACACTTAATGAGGCAACACTGAAAATCTCCTCCTGTGACCAGGAAAAAAACCAAATGTTTACTATTACCACTGTTCCTCAGCATTTCATTGAAGGTCCTGGTCAGTGCCATAGGTCAAGGGAAGGAAATAAAGCACTGGAAATGGAAAGTGATCACCATCCACACACCACATGTTTGCAAGCTGTGTGTTAGCATTCATAGAAGATCCAAGACAAGATGATTTCATGGACAATCAATATAAAAAAATCAGTTGTACTTTTATATAGTAACTGAAACAAGTAATGACAATTTGAACACACATTGATTCTTTATGAAAAGATAAGCCTGAATGAAGCACGGGGAGATAAAAATACAAAGAAGAAGGTAAAATACATAGGAAATACAATGAAAAGTCTAAAACATGAGTAATTGCAGTCTAGGAATGTGGCAGAGGTAATGAATGAAGAGATAATGGCTAAGAACAGTTCCTATACTGGTGAAAAAACATCAAGGCACATAGTAAGAAATTTTGCAAAGTTTAACTGTCAACCTAAAATTCTAGTTTAATCCTCAAAAATGCAATTGAAATGACATTTTTGGAGGACTGAAACAGAGGAAAATAGAATATTCAAATGATCAATAAAAATATGAAAAAATGCTCACAAGTGCATCAATGAGCCACTATGCAAATTAAAATCAATTTGAGATATGTTTTCATACTTACAAAGCAGCAGAATAACTAATTAAAACAACTGATGATGATACCAAGTTTCAGTGACAATGTGGACAAAAGGCACTGTCAAATACTGCTGGTGAAAGTGTAAATCAGTACAACCAGTTTGTAAAATTATTTGCCAATACATACCAAAGTGGAACATATATTACATTGTGCCTATGCAATTCTACTTCTGGGTAAATACCTGACAGGTGTGCTTGCATCAATGTGTTATCATTGTTGCAAAGGAGAATGTCAGCAGTGTTATTCAGAACAGTCTGAAACTGAAAGCAGCCCAGATCTCCATCAATAAGAGAGTAGGAAATGCTAAGACTCTAGAATATCTAAATAATGGAGTACTTGAAGTCTTTACCGCTAAGGATTTATTCTTTATAAAATTGCCTCTGTATACCAAATTTTTGTTATGTGTAAACCAGCAATTAATCTGGAATCTATAATGTGGTCATATAAAAGTTATAGCTATGCAAGTAATTTTGCTAAAATACTACCTTAAACTTAAAATATAACTATATTCATACATTGTCTTTGATGTTATTATTTCAATTATATAGATTCTCAAGGGAGAGAATTTAGATGATACCATGAATAGAAACAGTATAGAAATCACCCATAAAGCTTACCATTCATAGATAACCACTGTGACATTTTAAATACTTCCAGACACTCTTTTTATGACTATGCATACATATATAATTTGAATTGTATATTTTCACTTTTATTATAGCTACTGTTAATATATTCTGAAAATTTTCAGGTATCAATATTCTTCAGAAACTTTAAATTTATAATAACTTATATTTCCTCATGAAGAAACAATATAATTTATTTAAACATTCCTTAATGATGAACTTTTAGGTTGCTTTCATTATTTTCCTGTTGTATAACGTTGTGAGGACTATCTTGTTGTAGTAATAATCTTTGCCTAAATTTCTATTTTCATAACAATTATATTGAGACCTAATTGATATACTATACAAATCACAAATTTAATTCAGTGATTTTTAGTGTAGAGCATAGTACACTTTTCCCCACCAATCCATTTAGAACATTTTCATTATCCCGAAAGGAAATCCTGGCTGGGGATTTAGCTCAGTGGTTCCAGTGCCTGCCTTGCAAGCACAAGGTCCTGAGTTTGATCCCTAGTATCAAAAAAAGAGGAAATCCCACCTCCTTTATCCATCAACCTCCAATTCCTCAGCCCTCTGCTGGCACTAGGCAACCAACCATCTATTTTCTCTACAGATTTGTCTATTTTGGACATTCTATATGAATGGAATCATGAGGAGGTTTCACTTATCATATTTTCAAGGATGATCCATGTTGTAATGTTTTAATTACTTTTTTTATTGCTGAGACAAAATACTGATGATCAAAATTAAAGGAGGAAAGGTTTATTTCAGTTCACAGTTTGTAAATGTTTTAGTCCATAGTTGGCTGACTCCAAGGCAGGGTAGGTAGTATGGCAGAAGGGCATTGCAAAAGAGAAACAGACCATGGCAAAGCAGCCAGGAGCCAGTGAAGCAGCAAGCAACAGCAGCAGCAAATCTATCTTCTCTCTCTCCCTGTATATCCCACCCAGGCTGTAAGCCTATTGATTGGTGCCACCCACCCCCAGGGTGTGGCTTCCATTATGCACACCCTGTAAGCCAATTTAGATATTACACATCCTTAGTCCCAGCATCACACAGCTTTGATCCAGGCTATCCAAACAGCGCCACCTATGAGCACATGAGGCTTTGGGAGGACATCTAAATATAAGCCTTAACATGTAGCATGTATTAGTACTTAATTTTTTTATTTAGAAAACAATTTACTTACATGGCTCTACTATACATTATATGTCCATTCATCAATTAATGGACATTTAGATTGTTTCCAATTTTTGCTGTTCTCAATAATGCTGGTATAAATATTCATACAATTTAGGTGTCGGCATATATTTTCATTTCTATTGGACATATAACTAGTGAAGTTAACGAGTTGATTACAAACATTTCCAGTTTTTCTTTAGGACAATTTGTAAACCCAAAGGGATTATTCACAATTATATAGTAATTCTGAATTTTTAGTCCTCTGAATTTAAGTTCTGTATTTTCAGGCCTAATGAGTCTCCTTTTCTACCCAGAGTTGGTTGTTTTATACGACTAAGGCCAGAGAGTGCATAGAAAACTGTGCACTGGATGACATGTGCAAAGGATGGATAGGTCATATGGTAGCTCTGTCTAACCATTTATGATTGGCAAGGTTGCTTTCCAAAGTGACTTCACCATTTATATTTCCACCAGCCTTGTATGAATAAAGGTTTCAGCTTCTGAATGACCTCACCAATACTTATTATGATCTATTTTTTAAAATTTTGTAGTATTTTGGGGTATGAAGTTCCATGTCTGTGTGATTTTGATTTGCATTTCACTGATGGCTCATTGAATGAAATTTTATTTAATTAACATACATTTTTGGATATAAAAATACTGAATTAACAGCCCAATTTTAAAAAGTTGATGTATAGTGCCAACCTGATTTTCAATAGTTGAATGAATTTTATTCTACCTGGAACTATGCAGGATGCATGAAACCTTTATTAAAATAGATATTTAAATATTTGCCAATTTAGTGAAATCGATATTATTTTAGACCCATTTCTTGTGCCACAGCATTTTCATACATAACAACTTATATAACTTCAGTGAGGTACCCATATTCTTTGTTCATTTTCCTATTGAGTTTAATATTTTGCTTTTTTATTGAGTTGTATGAGCTTTTTACAGTAGTCCTATTTTCCATAAGCTATATTAAATATATATTGGTTTTGGAAATTGTTCTTAAAATGGCTTTCATTTATCTCGAATAATTTTGTTAGCTAAGGAATTGTTTTAGTTAATTTCACTTGTAATGTATTTTGAGAAAAATTAAAATTTCTGACTCCTTGGTATAACTAACCAAGGTAGTAACCATTTTAAAACTATTAAGAGATTAAAAAAACTTTTAAAGCATATTCATTTATTCAAATAATGAAAGATACTAGGCAAATGGAGACTGAGTAAGTGTATTCATCAACTTTCTGTTGCTGGGACAAAATACCTGATGCCTGCAACTTAAAGGAGGAGAAGTATAATTTGACTCATGGTTTCGTAGGTCTCACCCATGATCTCTTGGCTCCAAGGTAGAAACATCACAGGGGAAGGGCTGGGCAGCAGAAAACTGCCCAGCTGGTAGCATCTGGGAAGCAGAGAGGAAGGGCCGGGGCCAGACATAGACCTCAAGGTCACCCCAACCCACTTCTTCCAGCCAGGTTCCATTTCCTAACAGCCCATTCAGCCAAGAATTCGCTAGTGGGTTAAGGTACTGAAGAGCTTCGTGACAATGCAGTCACTCCTCTAGGAGTCTCTTCTATCCAAGCTGACAGGATGATCCAGCACAATTGCTCAGTGCCAGTCTCAGTTTTTACTTAAATTTAAAAGAATCTCATGGCAAAATCTAGGTCTGAGCACTGTATCCCTTTTTGTTTTGCAAAATACCTAAACTGAACTTGCTGAAGTGTGATGTGTATCTTCTGCCTGATAGTGCTTCCAAAAGGCTAAGAGATGAGATGAATGGATACAAATTACAGCTCCATCTTTGGCCCTATTGTTTAATGTTTAACGGTTAGGACCATTAATGAGTTGATTGCAAACATTTCTAGTTTTTCATTAGGAAAATCTGTAAACCCAAAGGGCTTATTAAGAATTATAGAGTACTGTAATTCAGAATTTTTAGTTCTCCGCATTTAAGGTCTGTATTTTCAGGCTTAGTCTCCTTTTCCTCCCCAGAGTTCACCAGATAGGGCACAGAATAATGTGCCATGGAAGACAAATATTATGTACTTGGATTTAAACTATGTGTTTAAATGGCTAGATATTGATTAAGGCAATAGAGGAAATAGATATGGAATTGAGATAAAAGGTCCCAGAAGATTTTCAAAAGTTAATGCATGCAAATATCATTATTTTGAAGAGACATGCTGTGTGAAGGAAGTAATTGATCTCTCCTTTTTAATTTCTCTCAGCAGTGACATTAAGTAAGGAAATCTGCCAATTATCTCAGAGTTGTTCTCTTTGGGAAGGTGGCTTAAGAATGCTAAGGAATGAGAAATACATATCGTCCTGATAAACCTATAGTAAGTTGAAAATATTATGAATGGGAAACTCATTTAATACACCTAATCTATTAAACATCTTAGCTTAGCCCAGCCCATCTTAAACATGCTTGGAAGGCTTACCTTAGCCTTCAGTTGGGCAAAATTGTTTAACACAAAGCCTATTTTGTAATAAAATGTGGAATACCTCATGTAAGGTATTTAATTATGTGCTTACAGTGCAGGACAGAATGGCTGTATGGGAATAGAAAGCAGAGGGGCATTTTGTAGACATGATGGGATGCAAGAACACAAAGCACAATATCGGAAAATACTGGCGCCCAGCACACTGGTTACTCACCACACTGGTCATGTGAACCGGGGGAGCTGCACCTTGTTGCTGCAGCCCAGCATTAAGAGTATCCTACTGCTTATTGCTAGACTAGGAAAAGAACAAATTTCAAAATTTGAAGTGTGGTTTCTACTAAGGTAAATCAGTTTTGTGCTATCAAAAAGTCAAAGAATTGTAAGTTGAGCCACTGTAAAGCCGGTAGTAGCTGTATTTGAGACCAGAGCCCTGAAGTGGACTTTGCTATGGGTTGAACTGTGTCTCCCAGAAAGACACTGCATGTGGGATTCCCAGTCTCATGGCACTTCAGAAGGTGCCCTCATCTGGAAATACGAGTGCCATGAGTGCAGTTAGCAAAATTAGGATGAGGACCTACTGGATAGGACTGGTGTCCTGGTGAGAGTGACTTTAGACACAGATGCACAAAGAAAGTGGAAGGCAGAGGTGGGGAGTAGAGTGATGCATCTGTAAAATGAGGAACCTGAAGATCGCTGTTTATCATCAGGATTGAGGACCACCATGGAGCAGAGTTTCCCTCCAGGGTGTCATAAAGAACCAGCCTCCCTGATCTTTTGAGTTCAGATTTGCAGCCTCCACAGTTGTGCAACACTGTAGTTTTAAACTGCCCATTTAGTGGTAATTTGTTACAAATGCCCTAGCTTTCCCCCCTGCCCAGGGAAAGAATCACAAGTTTGAACCCACTTATCAAGCAGCTTAGTGGGCAACTTAGTGATTTAGTGAAACACTGTCTCAAAAAAAAATTACAAAGGCCTGGGGATATAGCTCAGTGCGAAGGCCCTGGGTTCAATCTCCAGTACCACAGAAAGTAAAATGAAATGAAATAGGCTTCTAGCTTCTTGCCAAATTGCTTAACAACCTTGTCTCAATTTCTTTTCTTGTGGAATAGAAATAATACCAGCCCATTATGAGCTTCTCTGAGTGATGAGATTGGACATCTGAACCAAAATGAATTTCAGGATCTCTTGTCTCACAAAGACTTTTCACCAGGACCTCTCCCTGCTTTGGGTTCACGGCCCATATTTTCCACATTACCTATTAGGTACTCCGTGGTACATTCACTTGTAGAGTGGTTCTCATGCAGTGGTCACTGAGTGACTTTCTCATTGATCTGTGGGCCCTTGATCATGTTTAGCTAGGCTTGGGAGGCTAGGCCATCATTGTTCCTTAGAAGCACTAAATTTCTCTTAAGTTTTGCTAAATTTCCCAAAACTTCTCCATCTTTTCATTCAGTTGCTCATTCATTCAATTATTCCTTTCTTCCTTCATTCATTCAATGTCCCGTGGAGCATCTTTGTATGTCAGATTCCTTTGTTTACATTGGGCAAGCAGTGGTGACTAGAACCCAACAGTGTGAGCCCCAACAGAGCTTGCAGAGTCCTGGGAGAAGAGAAAAGACAGACATTTTAACAAAGCACTTCATTAATGCATGCAAAATTACAACTGTGAAAAGCACATCAAAGCAGACCAGTAGTTAGCTCTGGACTGTACAGGACTGGACTGTAACAGTGAGATGTGACCCTCTTAGGGAGGTCAGAGAACCTTTTGAAAAGAGCTGATCTGAAGAATGTGGAGGGTCAGCCAGGTGTAAAGCAGGAAAAAAATAGGTAGAGAGAGCACTGATGTGTGTGGCGAGGCCTGGTCAGATAGAAGGGTACATTGGGGACTGACCTTTGAGTGCAGGTACTGGGGTGCATGAAGGGTGCTAGGTGCTTGCTATGAGGCTGAATGGGTAGGGAAGCAGCTAAAGGGCATGAAGTCCTCAGTGCTGTGTGCTTTCAATCCGAGAGAGAGAGAGAGAGAGAGAGAGAGCGTGCGCACACCCATATAATCCTTGCTAGTCTTCTCCTTAGGATGGGTTTGTCTCTTGATGGAGGAGAAGGCAGGAGCATCTACCCTTGCTCCCTCCGTTTCTGCTCCTTCCATGACTTCTTAGTCAGTTTTGCCTGGACGTGCTCACTGGTCTTATGCTTGGAGTCTGGGATGAGATTTCCTCCATACTTGTTGTAATCCACCTTCAAGGTTCAGGGTATCTTAAGAATTGCTATTCCTAAGAGGTAGGGGAGTTTCAGTGCTATCTTAAATGTTTGAAATGCAGTTTTAAATTGTTGGTTTACATTTGGTTTGCTGACAATGAAGTCAGCTGAGCACATTTAGTAAAACAGCCAATCTAAAAAGCACTGTAAGAGAAAAAAGGCAAAACAAACAAGAAAAACCCCACAAAAACCCCTCATAAGACGGATAAATCTTTTTAAATATCTGTAAACTGTCTCTCATTTCATCCCCTTTAAAGTATAGTTTTTGTCATTTTACAACAACAGGAAAATAGAATAGATGCAGTATTATTATTTTTATTTTCATATATAAAGCTGATGCTGACAGAGAGTGGCAAGTTATGCCCTGAGTTCCCAGTGCTGTTGATAGGTCTGCATTAAACTAAACCATGTCTCCTTTCTCACTGGACTTCTCTGTAAACAGGAGAATGCATCCTCCAGATGACAAAGTAAAATGCATGCTATGACTAAGAAATAGCTTTCTTCTGCACTGCTAACTTGCTACTGAAATAGCAACAGAACTTGGCCTCTTCTTTTTTTGGTACTGGGGATCAAACTTGGGTCCTTGAGCTTGCATGGCAGGTGGTGCAACCACTGAGCTAAATCCCTGGCCCAGAACTTGGCCTTTTTAACACACCCATTTAAAGGCTGACTAGTCATGGCCTATGATCAGGGGCAGCAGCATGTCTTTAGCTTCTTTAATTATATTATCTATCGCAGAATAGGACACATAAGCCAATGGTGAGGATGCTCTAACAATCTGCTCCTAGTTAAGGCTGTTCTCATTCCAAGAGTGGGCTCTGCCCTGTTGAAGTTCAGTTGCTTGGCATTTATTTACAAGCATTCAGTTCCAATTCCAAGGGGCTGGGAGGTTCTGGCCCTGGCAGCCTGACACATACTAATCAAATACAGAAGGTTTGATTTGTAAATTGGAATGCCAGTGTTTTGCAGGAAGAATTGACACTTGCTAAAAGACTACATACCTTGTCATTCAGTCTGCCTATTCTCCTCTAAGGAACCCAGTACAATGCAGTGCTTAACAGTGTAGTTTCCTAAATAGCTGTGTTTGAGTTGCTAGCTGAGCAAGAAATAGGACAGAGATTAGAATATTATTCCAGGGAAGGGGGAGGGAATGTACCACTTAGAGTTAGTTTATTGCAAGCAACTGAAAGGGATATTTCCTGACTAAAACCAAGGGGGACTTTACAGGAAGGACATCAGAAATTCTCAGAATTGAAGGGACCCTGGAGATATAGGGTGAATATCAAGGCAGAAGCAACCAAAACTATTGAACAATTTGCTCAGATGGAGTGAGGTCCAGCAAGTTTGTCTTTTCCTCTGCTGTACCTGGCTTCTGAAATGTCATCAAGCTTTTAAAATTTTAATTAGGCCATTAGTGTCTTTATTATGTGCTAAAAGTTATAAGACTCTGAACTCAAAGAGAATCTAATATGAATGTCTACAATGCACATTAGACTAAATTCACAACACAGGTGCACAAACAAGACTTTCAACTCCAAATATGAACAGAGGACAGGGGATTAGGAAGCTGGGGAATGACTCCAAGGGAAAGGCACTAGAGATAGACACTTGGAGATGGAAGGTGTTTTTAGAGACGTCAGAAACATTTCAAACTGGGATGTATATAATAAATACAGCCCAGGTGTGAGCTTACTGTGAGCCCCTCACTTGGTTAAGTCCCTCCTTCTCCTAACCCCCAACCTCTGTGATTGCAGTAACAGGGTTTAGCTCAGTGATGAGCTTTGCTCTGGAGGGAGGTTATATGTGGGGGAGAAGGAAAGGGATCATCACTAGGAGAAAGACACACATTGTACTACAGAGAGACAAAAAATACGCTTCTCCCCGTGTATCTTTTGGAGGATAGGTAACAGATGGCAAACCTGAAAGTGGGAAATGAGATAGTTTCTTTTGATTTGTCTCCTCTAGGAAAGGGCTTCTTAGCCCTGCCTACTCTAGGTAGAGGCCAGTGTTCTTAGTAGTGTTCAAAGGGACAAAATATTAAGCTTCACTTACCCAAGAACAATAGTTTGGGTCCTGAAAAATCCATGTTTTAGTACAGGTTTATCTGGTGAACAGTGCTGAATATCAGATCCAATGTTGTAAGAAGATGGCTTCAGTAGCACTGATATACTGTGGATTCACTAACTCATTCATTCATTCATGTTTATCAGAACTGACTAGAGCCTGTCCTTAATTGAGGCTAGAGGCTGGGGTAGAAAAAGAAGTACTTCCTTGAATTGCCTCCATTTTCTCATCTGTAAAGCAGGAGCTTGACATTTGCTGCCTTTGGTTTGCTGTTACAAGGCCCACACATGAAGGCTGCAGCAGTGTGCCTTTGTGCTGGCCAGAGGATCAGAAAAATGAAGGCTGCTGCTTTACCTCTGCTCCCTGGAGCTAGGAGTCCTCTGAAAGGTGGCAGTGATGTGGCAGCTCTGTGTAGCCTAGCGGTCTGGTATTTGCCAAAAGCTTTGGCCTAATGTAAGAAGAAGTAGTGCATGGATGATGTGATGGAATTATTGCTGACTGTGAACTTCCTGCCCTGCTAGGGAGGTGGTGCTGTGTGGGCTTTCATGGAGTTGGGACTTCCTTGAGCAGAGCTGGGTTTATTTATTCTTTTACAGTGATTTTATCTCAGGAGACCATAGGGCAGTATGTTGAACTGCAACCACCTTTTATCAAAGTTCTTCCTCATTGATCTTTGATTCCCCTTTCCCTGCACTGTTTCTGGATTTCTCCACAGAGCTTCTTTAGAAGTCTTTGCACCCAAAGAGGGGCACTTATGTTTGAAGTTTTTCAGTCTGGTGCATTTATCTTCTGTGCTCAAATCACAATAAATGTCCATAAAAAAGGCTTCAAAATTGTTGGCCTGGAAACTCCGTGGGGTCAAGGTCCCATCTGTACATGACTTTTCCTACCGTCTCACCCAACACCCCTGACTCTGATGCCTGCTAGTAAGAAAAGCTCAGCAATTTTCTTCAAAGATAACGTCTCAGAGGTCTTTATGGGTACCAATTGTGGCTTCAACAGAAATACTGAATGTGGGTGAGATTTAGGGGGGTATTGGGAGAGTTAACAAAGTAGTTTCAAAGGGACTTGAGCTCTTAAGTAGTTCCTTTCCCCAACATGGTTCCTTTGAAGTTCAGAAGTAGAAGCCTTCTAAATTGGTGGGTGAAGAACCAGGAAAAGGTAGAGACTAGCTTTTGATTTGGGTTCAGTCAATTGTCCAAAGATCCGAGGAGACTCTTCAGGTCTCCAATTCACATCTTCTACAGTCAGACCTCATCAGTCTCAGGGCTCCACTTTGGAGATTATAGCTTGATCCCATGGCAGCTTTAACCAAGGCCCACCCTTCTATGAAATGTTCCATTTTTCAGATAGGGACTAAATAGTAAAAGTTATAGGACACTTTTCCTATTATATAATACTGTAATGGGTAACATTAAAAAAATTTAAAATAAAAAATTTTAAAATTAAAAAAGTTAATTCCTCCCAGCCTGGGAGTATTAAAACTTCTCAGGTTTACTATTGGCTTGGGGACTCTGCCCTGCCTCCTCAATCTCAACCCTGGCTGAAGGACCACGGCTATCTAGAATATTGTTGCCGAGGGGAAAGACTGTGTATCTGATACCAGCAGTTACATATTCTGTGCCTAGAAGCAGCAGTCTCCTTCCCCGCGTAACTCACCAGCCTAAACCTCTCACAGTGCCTCCCTGAAGCATAGGCTTTGGAAAGTGAAACACCAGACTCAGGGTTATCAGTGAGTGCTGCCGCTGAGAGCTGCTCCTACTTCTTTCTCTCTGCGGACTGGCTGCTTCCACGCATGTTTCCTGCTCTCGTGCACACTACGGTCTGCTCCACTCTCACTTATGTTTAGCGAGAACAGCAATGATCGGCAGCCCAGTGGATGGACAGGGTCCTGATCCGGATATGGACCCCACGCCCAGGCGGCGGTGGCCAGGGGGATGGGGCTGGGAGGGCGCTCCCTACCCAGGTGGCAGGGGTTGTGGAGACCAGAAAAGTTATTTCTGGGACCCTCTTTCTGCCTGCTGTCCCTTTACTCGACCCTGGCCTCTGTCATTCTGTCTCATTATCACTTTGACCCCCATGTGGGGCAGTGTTCAGGCTCCTTCCCATGAGCCCCCAGGGCGAGGAAGACTAGAAGTGGCCGTTTCCCAGGGGACGGAAGACATCCTGGCTGCTCTGCTCTTCACCTAATCCATCAGTCTCACTGTTCCAGACAAATTCCGTGGAATTTGTACAATTTAGTACCATCCCTGCTCACGCCCTATAAAGGTGATCTTAGATTTAAATTCACAGTGTACTTGCGTGCAGCCACGTTCACGTTCGGACCATTTCATTTCTGCAAAGAGAAGGGGAAACGCCGTTACCTGGCGATGATTCCATTCTAGTCACCGGTGCGCTCGCTCTACTAGGCATCCACCCCTTCCTGCCGGTAAACTGTGTCACACAGACTGAAGCTGGTGTCTCTCCTCGGGGACAGAGGTGGGGACAGAGGGTGGCGCCGGGATCAGCCGGGCGGCGCGGGGAGAGCGAGGCTCGTCCCCAGCGAGGCCGAGCAGCCGGACGAGCGCCGCCTGCCGTACCTGCCGCCCGCACCTGCCAGCCCCGCGTCGCGTGACGTCACCGCCCGCCCCGCCCAGGCCGCGCCGCTCCGCGCCGCTGGCCCTGCGCCTCGGCCGCTGCCGTCTGTCCGCCCGCCCGCACCATGTCTGTGGCCGGGTTGAAGAAGCAGTTCCACAAGGCCACGCAGGTGGGCGTCGCGGGGCGGGCGGGGGCCGGGGATCTCTTCCTGCAGGGGACCGCCACGCCGCGCTTCTTCTCGCGACCTTGCGGCCCCGGGATGCACGGGTGCTGCGGGCTGGCTCCCCGGTCCCGGCCTAGAGGAGGGGAAGGGGGACGGGGGACGGGGGGACGGGGCCTGGGGGCGAGGGGGAGGGGAGGGAAGGAGGAGGGGAGGGAGAAGGAACACGGCGGAGAGGGTAATGGGGAGGGAGGCACGGGGGACAGGGGACGTTGGGGGGCGCTCCGGGAGAGGCGCCCACGGTCGAGTCCCTGTCGCCCCATGGAGACCTCGGGCGCGCTGACCGCAGTCTGCTCTCTCAGCATCCCCAGGGGTTGCTGCCCTGCCAGAGCAGTTTGTTGGAAACTGAAAAATCGCCATGCATTTTCTGTTTTATTTTTACCCCTTAGATATGCCCATTTTCCTCCATGACCTTTAGAAGTTAATTCAGACTCTAATACTTTAAACCTCCGTGGGCCTGGCTACAAAGGGGAAAACGAGGGAGCACTTAGGATGTGACCTATTTCTTATGTAATGTGTGGGATGACCAATTTTCACTCCTCTCAAACAGCTTGTGTTGATTTACCTTTAAATATTATAAATACTTTTTCATAGGCCAGTTTTCAGGTAGAGTGGGTTTTCTCCTGATTTCTCAGGAGTACGGTACCTACTTGAGATTTTTCCTAGGATACCGCAGTAGCAGCCTGTGAGAACCGCACACGGAGAAGGCGAGGATGATTTTCCCAGAACCTTGGTTAGGTTAGGGTGACAGATGCAGTGGAGAGTGTGTGTGTGTGTGTGTGTGTGTGTGTGTGCGTGCCAATTGTCTCAGTCACCACAAATGTGCCTTATAAGAATTAGTTATACCTGTTAATTTAGGAAGTCAGAAAAGCTATTTTAGTAAAAATGCCCCTTAATGTATTTTTGCTTTTATAATTAGGGATTTCTGTGACCTTTCTGCCAGAAATGCTTGTAAACATAAGTTCATTGTTGATTCAGGCTTTTGATAATTTTATTCCTTCAAGTTCTTTCCATTTTACAAAACAACGTATGTACTGCCCCAGGAAGTCTCGACAAGACTTCTTTGATATTATGAACCTTTTTTAGTTCAGGTACCGGACACTTCTTTAAACCAGACCTCAGCCCTAAATCCAGCAACACCATGCCCCACCCCCCTATGCAATCAGGAGCCCTGGGTTTGGAGTGGGGACACTAAGATTTGAGTCCCTTCTGCTGTCTCTGACCTTAAGCAAGTTACCCAGAATCTGTCCCTGCTGACGTGAGGACCATGCTCATTCTCCGCAGGGTTGATGTGAGGACTTAATAAATGATAGCAGTTAACATTATGATTAATTTTATCAGTATAGAATACTATCCTGTATACCAATAATCATGAGACATGTGGAAATTGTCAAAGCTAGAATTTTTATCTTTGTCAGTGTACCAAATAACCATGGCTTCATTTCAGTTAAGTCCCAAGCTAAACTTTGGAATAAAGAATTTGAATTGTAACATGGAAGAATTTCTTACATATAGTCTACCGAAAGCATGTATACACGCTTCAGCAGTTCACAGTAAGTGTCTGGAAGCTCATGGTCACCGCTTTGGGCACCTCTTGCCATTGTTGAGGTCAGAGGCAACTTGTATTAATCTCATGATGTCTCAATAAATTTAGTGTTAAAATGTTTATGCAAGGTTTTCTTTTCCTGATGTCTACTTTTTTGGCGGACTCTAGTTGGAGGAGCTCTGCTTGTGATAAGATTGCATTATTCCATGGAATCCAGATGCAGAATCACTGCCATTTTCTTCTTTTTAAAGGCGAAACAACACAGTTTTCGTCCAGAACTTAATGGGACACAATCATAGGAAACTTAGGGCGAAGGTTACTCTTCCTGTGCATGTGTGTTTTGGAGGGTGTGTGAAGCCAGCTTTAATGTTTGCCTGGGACAGTGATATTAGGGAAACAGTCATATCTTACCTTTGTAGCCATTTTCCCCATATAGGTTCATGCACCCGATTTTATCTGCAGATGAAACTTCAGCTCTAGAATTATTATGTTTATTTTGAGAACTGATAAATGCTGAATTATATAACCTATACATGTGAGAGGCAGACATTTTTCCTTTCTACTGAGTTGAGCTTTTTTCCCTATTAGTTAGAAGTGGTAGATGTATACATAAGAAGTATACCTTTAGTGTTCCAGTAATTTGGAATTTTTGATTAAGATATGTCATAACTGTTGTCTTAAATTAGAATTATTTCTACCTTGTTCCTGAAATTATTTTAGTATCATTGCCATTTCAAGATGAAAGTGCTTTTGACAAGTAAAATTTAGTAGAGAAGAAAATTCTTTCAGCATGAGAATATGTTAAAATAGAAGATTATGATGCTTCAATGTACTTATTTGCTCATAAAGACATAAATTACCATGTAGTTGAAATAGTTTATTTTTTCCTGTAAAATAAGGCAAATGTGCATGCATTACTATAATTATAGTGAGTTTTGCTCATGTTGAGATTTTATTTTGTCAAGAGTAATCTCACATTTTTTCACTTGTTTTAAATTTACAGCAGCTTAAGAAAAAATAGCTGTTTCTAGTTAATATATTGTTGTTGTTTTTTTACAAAGCCTGCCTTTTAAAAAAACTTGACTTTTATCACACATTTGATGTGGATGTTACTTTACCTCATAACATGTGACAGTTGTTACAGAGTGAAATGTGTTTGGTTATTGCATTAGCTTTCTAGGGTTTCTATAATGAAGGGTCCATGGCAGTGTACACGACAAAAATGTGTGTCTCACACTTCTTGAGCTAGAGCAGCTTGAAGTCCTAGATTAAGGTGTCAGCACGGCCTTGCTTCCTCTGAAAGCACTGGGCAGCATCTGCTCTATGCCTGTTTTCTCACTTCTGGAGCTTTATTGCCAGCTTCTGCCTTCTGTGGCTTTTAGATACATCACTTCACTCTTACCCCCACGATCACATGGCTGTGTGTGTGTGTTGCTGTCCACATTTCCTATGTTTTAAAAGGACACCAGTCATTTTGAATCAGGGGCCCAACCTGCTCCAGTGTGACCTCATTTTAACTTCAGTAATTGTGTCTGCAGTGCCCTTATTTCAAATAAAGTCTCGAACTGAGGTGCTGAAGTGAAGAATGTAACATATGCATTTTGGGGGGCACAGTTCAATCCCTGACAGTCATTTTTAGCATGAAAGGATTCACCCCAGTCTTCTTTGAGATACTGTATTTAAATCCACATTTAGAATGACAATTTAGTCTGTAAATAATATAATAACTTTTTATTGCATTGAATGAAATATGCTTCTTTTTAAGTGAATTTTGTAGGGATATTGCTGTGGTCTAAATTTGTCTCCTGCCCAGATTTATACACTGAAACTTTATTGCTAATGAGATACTAAAGTGAGGTGGTTAAGTCCTGAGAACTCTCCCCTTGTGAAAGGCATTCGTACTCTCTCACAAAGGTCTGAAAGAAGAGACCTGGTTCCTTTCTGCCATGTGAAGATCTCGTAGCAAGATGGCTGCCATCTTTAAACAGTGTGAGCCTTCACTAGACACAGAATCTACTGGTGCCTTGGTCTTGGGCTCCTCAGATTCCAGTTTGTGAGAAATAATTTCTTTTATTTGTATATTATGCAGCCTAAAGCATTTTGTGATAGTAGCCCAAAGTCAGACAGAAATATGACGATTAGATTATCTTGATTTTTTTTTTTTTTTTTTTGGTACTAGGGATCGAACTCCAGTCCTTGCGCTTTCAAGGCAGGCAGCGGAACCACTGAGCTAAATCCCTGGCCCTCTTGATCCATTTTCTATTGATATAACCAATTACCTGAATAGTTTATAAAGAGGTTTACTTTGGCTCATAATTCTGGAGGCTGGGAAGTCCAGGATTGAGTGGCTGCATCTGGTAAGGGCCTATGGTTCTTCACCTAATGGCAGAGAACAGAGGGACAAGTGGAGATTGTGCAGGAGGTAAATAAAAGGGGCTGCCTTGCTGTTTAACAGCTCATTTTTCCAGTAACCTAGTTTCTCTGGAGTGAGAACACACTCAGGCGAGAAAAGCATTATTAATCCATTTATGAGTACTCCACCTCCATGGCCCAAAAATCTTTAAGCCTCACCTCTAACACCAACCTTTATGATCCAAGATGTAGGAATTCTTGGGGGGAACATGCTCAAACCATAGTACCTGTTACAGACTATATCTTTTGATTTTTCTTAATAACAACACTCAGACAGTGTATTATGATATGGTCTTATATATGTTTACTGTCACACTTAAATATTTTAATTAAATTTGTTTTAATGAATTTCTTCCTGCTTTCATGACATGTAAAATCCTGTATTTTTCATAGATCCTTTGCTCAGGAAGATGTTATATAAATTTGTTCATGTGTTGATTTGGTGAGATATTAAATTTATTGAGGTATTTAATTAAACATATCATTAGTTACGGTTTTATCTGCATCAGATTCACAGTTCCTTAATTGCTTGATTGGAGCAGTAAGGTCTCTGCTGCTTTAAAAATCTTCAACAGGGGTTCTTGTTTGACACAGGCTTCCTATTGCAGCACCATTTGTCAGGTCAGTAGACTGACTACCGGGGACCTGTAATTTTCTAAAATTACATGTTATATTTTTACATTTACATTTTTTTTCTGAGGCAGAGGATCTATACTCTATTACCAGCTTCTCGGAGGAATTCCTAATACTTGCCCTCACACCATGAGGTAGAAATGCAGTGGAAGACATTGATTGTACTGTTGGAAGATGTGTGTGTGTGTGTGTGTGTGTGTGTGTATGTGTGTGTGTGCTACTAAAGATTGAACCCATGGCTACATTGAGTTACATCCCAGTCCCCTTTACATTTTTTTAAATTTTTGAGACTGGGTCTCTCTAAGTTGGTGGATTATTCAGACTTCATACTGCCTCAGCCTCCTGGAGTGCTAGGCTC